CACACCAACTTTCAACCCAATCGGACTTTTAGTTGTGGAGATATAGGCCTTTAAAATATGCACCTATAATGTGACGTCACATGACTCATGATGATGTCACGATGACGTCAATGTTCAGGCACAACTTCAGATGCTGATCTAAGTGTATGCCGAGTATAAAGGAAATCGGATTAATTTTAGTGCCCAAAAAGCCGGTAACAAAAAAACAAAAAAAGTGTACAAATGCAATGGGCAAAATGACTGAAAAAGAAAGAAAAAAAGAAAAAAAAAAAAAATCTTAACAACTAGAGATCTATGTCTGTTTGAAAACAGATCATAGGGCTTTTCCGGTTATTTTATTTTGCATGACTTTATGCTTTTTTGCCAATGAGGAGTCATGTAAATTTATATTTTTGGTTCAAATATCATAAAAAGTTCTATTGAGCTTCAGATTTGGCATTTGATGACGTCACATGCCCTACTATGACACCATCTTGATTACACTTGTCAATGCATATTTTTGCATTTTGGTCTTGTTTTTGTACTAAGGTTGAAGTCAATCTGATGAAAGAAAGTGTTGAATTTTGGGAAGCGCAATGATATTGTAAGTATGAAAAAATCATTAAAAAAATTAACTGTTGACGTCATGGTGACGTCTTTTCGGAATTTGCATACTGGTACCATTATCTAGCTATCCACTATGTTCATGATGATGGGACCTTCCCTTGTATGTGTTTTCTAAAATTGCATTTTTGATGACGTCATGATGACGTCATCAAGGGTCACGTGACGTCATCCTAATTGTGCATATTGTAAAGTCCTATATCTAGAGAACTGTAAGTCTGATTGGGTTGAAACTTGGTATGCGAGTATACTGGTGTACTGGTACCATTATCTGGCTATCCACCAAGTTTCATGATGATGGGACCTTCCCTTGTATGTGTTTTCAAAAATTGCATTTTTGATGACGTCATGATGACGTCACACATTTTTCAAAATGTTGTGCATATACCTATTACCTAACAAACTCAATACGAAAAGAATTTTGAATTGTGCATGTTGCGTTCGTGAGATATGGCTTAAAGGTCCATAATTCCAAAAAAAAATCATATAAAATCACATGATGACGTCATGATCACGTCACTTCAATTCTTACCTATAGTATAACACATCCCGGTCTACTCACATACCAAGTTTTAACCTAATCAGACTTACAGTTCTCTAGATATAGGACTTTACAATATGCACAATTAGGATGACGTCACGTGACCTTGATGACGTCACCTCAATTTTCATCTATAACACATCCCGGTCTACCTACATAGCAAGTTTCAACCCAACTGTATGTCCGATTCCGGGAATCGGACATACAGTTCTGTAGATAAAGGAATTTACAATATGCACATTAGGATGACGTCACGTGACCCATGATGACGTCATGATGACATCACCTCAATTTTCATCTATAACACATCCCGGTCTACCCACATACCAAGATTCAACCCAATCGGACTTACAGTTCTGTAGATATAGGACTTTACAATATGCACTATATTAGGATGACGTCACGTGACCCATGATGACGTCATCATGACGTCACCTCAATTTTCATCTATAACACATCCCGGTCTTCCTACATACCAAGTTTCACAACCAAAAATCCAAAAATATCATATAAAATCACACGATGACATCATGATGACGTCAGCTCAATTTTTACCTATAACACATCCCGGTCTACTCGCATACCAAGTTTCAACCAAATCAGACTTACAGTTCTCTAGATATTGGACTTTACAATATGCACAATTAGGATGACGTCACGTGACCCTTGATGACGTCATCATGACGTCACCTCAATTTTCATCTATAACACATCCCGGTCTACCTACATAGCAAGTTTCAACCCAATCGGACTTACAGTTCTGTAGATAAAGGACTTTACAATATGCACTTTTAGGATGACGTCACGTGACCCATGATGATGTCATCATGACGTCACCTCAATTTTCATCTATAACACATCCTGGTCTACCTACATACCAAGTTTAACCCAATCGGAACTTACAGTTCTGTAGATATGGACTTCATAATATGCACATTTAAAATGACGTCACGTGACCCATGATGACGTCATGATGACGTCACTCTTTGACGGACACAACTTTGCTATAGGGACTATGCCTGTGGTACTTTTGAATGATGTATGACAAAGACTAATGCCAAAAGTGGTGGAAGAAAAATTGTGTACAAAGTCTATGGGGTTTAGGCGACAAAAAGAAGAAAGAAACTAGATGTCCATGTCTGTTTGAAAACAGAACATAGGGCTTTTTCGCATTATGCTTTTTTTTTTTTATCAATAACACATTCCAGACGATGCATGTCCAATGTTTCAAAGAATACGGTACAAGAATTTTTAGTATATTACACGTATGTAGCGTCTCTGAGATATATTATCGTCAAAAAGAAATAAATCCATATGAAATCAGACGTATAGCACTACCTTTATATGCAATTTTGACCCATTCGGACTGATAGTTTTCTCAATATAAGACTTTAAAATGCACGTTTATGATGACCTAACATGCCTTACGATGGCGTCATCTTGCTAACACATGCCAATGCACATTTTTGCATTGAAGTCAATCCATTGAAAGGAAGTGTTAAATTTTGGAAGCGGAATGAAATTGTAAATATTAAAAAAATCATAAAAAATCATGCCATCAGCCAAGCATGTTCAAAATTAAAATACTTTACAAAAGAATAAGTTTAATTTGACTTCTATTTTTTTGGGGGGGGGGGGGTGGGTTGGAGTGTTGTGAGCATTATGCATGCTGGTAGAGACAGGCTGACTGTTAAGTAAGTAAATATACACAATCTTTACTTATACTGTGAGTAATCCTTTACATTCCAAAAGATTCAACAATTACAAAGGATATCAGATATGGTAAGGATAAAGAGGACTTATCTTACTTTTAGATGAAATTTGTCTTTTCCACCATTTCTGAAGTGTTAAGAAATTAGCTATTTTCATTCTCAAACATTTTGATAGTACATGTACTAAAAAAGGTGACATCTATCATGTAGACATTTGAATTATTGGTATTTTGGTCAATTGCCATTGTTACATATTTGCCTTTTCCAATGTAGCAACCAACAAGTCGTCAACCAAGCCTGTTCTTCAATAAAATACTTACCAAAAAATAAGTCAAATTTGGCTTCAAATTTTTTTGAACTGATTGTTTCTTTGGGGGGGGATTGGAGTGTAATGAGACTAATCATCTGAGCACGTACTCATTTGAATAAATAATATTGATTGTGTGAGTTTTCAATAACATAAGTTAGTGCAGTTATTTCGTTAAACAAAAACACTTTGTGCAACAGCTTTGAAATTGTTTTTCCGCATTATGTTTTTTAATTGTGGTGACGTTTTCTGTTTTGAATGCATTGTTATTTTATGTGCTGTTGTTGTTTTTGTTATACATATATAGATTTAGGACTTCCAGACTGTACACCTTAAGATGATGCACGGGGACACATCATGACATCATCATGGCTTCTGATTTTGTATCTACATGTATACTAATAAAGGAACGACATCTGTCTGTCTGCCCTTCCCCGGCCCCTAAAGCAGAAAAAAAATCACTGAGACAAGTTTACTGATGCAAGGGTATTTTTTGCCGACGTTGCGTCAACTGTGTGAACAATTTGACAAGCTGGGAACTTGGCACTGTTGAGGCAAATGTTTACGCTATCATTAATGGGCAATTCAAGATTATATCTGTACAGATTGATATGTTAGCAATTTTTGAAAAAGGAAGGTCTTTTCAACGGAACTTCCAGTTTGATGACGCCATATGCCTAAAACTTCGCACACGTCTTAAGTGGGTCAAGGTCATCATATACACCAAATTTAGGCGATTCCGACAACTTCGCCGCACACATCTATTCAAAATACATGACGTCATTGGTAGATGATTTGAAGAATACTCTCAGCCAAGAGACTAACACCGTTGAAAGCAAGTTCATATCTATTACCACTTTTAAATAATAAGCCACTTCCTGTTTTGGCCTTTTTCGACCGGAAGCAAGGGTCATGTGATTTCACGCACACTGAATGAAATAAAGACCTCAACCTACTCTACCACTTGCCGGCACGAATGCTGTGGACGCGTACGGTTGATTTCTTATGCATTTTTAAATATTAAAAGTGTCACCATTTAATTGCCCATAAATAAAACACCGGATGACGTCATCATGACATCATCATTACACAATGTTGTTTGAATTAGGGTCTTCGCTTCGACAAAGAGTGGTGTAAAGAATTACTGGCAAAGAGTCGAAAATGCCCTTTGAAAAGCGGCAATTTTTTTTAAATTTCTGTGTACAAAGTCTATGGAAAATCTATAATAAACTAGTCAATGATGTCACCATGATGTCAATCTTGCCTGTGGTAACTTTGAATGATGTATGACAAAGATTTATGCCAAAAGTGGTGAGCAGAAAAATCGTGTACAAAGTCTATGGGATTTAGGCGACAAGAAGAAGAAGAAGAAAGAACAATCTTAACAAAAAAAAAGGCTTTACCGCACTTTGCGGAAAGCCCCCCCCCCCCCCAAAAAAAAATGAGAACAAAAACAAAGGCTTTTCCGCACTATGCGGAGAAGAGCCAAAAAAAACCCCCAAAAAACAAAAAAAAAAACAAAAACAAAGGCTTTCCACTATGCGAAAAAAGCCAAAAACAAAGGCTGTTTTGGCTGGTTGCCGAAACAGCCATCAAATTTTGGGTCTAAACAGCATGTACACACACAAGGTAAGCTATATACACTGGTATTTACTTGAAAGACAGAATGGATGTTTGAAAAAAATTTTGAAAAAAAATTATTTGTTTGATGAAAGAACAAGTGACTCACCACTCGGACTCGAGGTTGTGACCCAGGACTTTGACTTGGGACTCGTCGTTGGTGACTCAACTACAATACTGCATGTACCAAGTGGCATATTTTTTTTTTTCTGGACAGATTCTTCCTGTAGCGCCATTACTGACGGCAAAACAATTGTTAGAGTTGCCTGGAAGGAGAAGTGAGTATATAACTTTAATAATAAGCAAATGAAGTGGTTAATAAATAGTAGATTACAGAGTTGAGATTTGTATTTGTAACAGTGTGGCAGCTGGCATGGCATTTGCAACTATTTGGCGTGGCATTTGTGAAACTGGTTTGACTCAAAAACTGCAACTTTGGCTAGATAAGTCAATGGGTAGTTGGCATAGGATCATATTAATGATTAAGTAAGTCAGTTTCTCATTGTTGTTTATTCAGTGAAACAAATTGTAACAAATTTGAAACAAATATTTATCTCTTTATACTTCATCATTAAGGTTTGACAATGAGCAAGAAACTGATGGCTTTATGGAAAAGCAAAGCGGTTCCAAATGTGTCAGCTAAAAGCATTGTAAGTTATCAAACAGTAAGACGAGACAAAGAAACATCTAGTGCAACAGAGTCTCTGTCTTCACAGGTAAGTGTCCTCACCATAATTTAATGATTTTCAATGCATGTTGCACTTTCAACAGTGGCGCATCCAGCTTCATTAAAATACAGCAATACAATGAACAAGTGGGGCTGTGCCCCATCTATCCCTTTGTATTCCTGTATTTAAATGAACTTAGATCCGCCACTGTTCAAAGTGTCATGCAACTTGTTGGTGAAATAACCAATTATAAAATAGAACAGGACTGGAGTCCATAAAGTGTTTCTTGGCTGTGGTCTTCTTAAGGAGGTCAGCTGCAGGAGCTAACAACTAAAATGAATCTAGACTGAATCATTGGAATGTGTCCTGTCCATTAGAGCGCTCACTATGGACAATTAAAACGTTCTAGGGGACACAATCTTGTTTTTCTTGATTTCATTGAAAAGTAGAGGCATATGGTGACTGGTCTTAATGTTAAAGTATAAAAGAATAACAAGAGGTGTATTGTTAAGTTGTAGTATTCATTGCTATTCACTTCGTATCAAGTCGACTATTTTTAGTGCGGTATGGCCATTCGGCTGCAGCACTATTTCTGCCCTTATTTCTGATTGTATGATTGCGAAGGAAGACCCTGCCTCAACGTGGAGATCTTCCTGCCTCAATGTCTCATTATGTCGTCATTGACTTGTTGTCTTCGAGGGGCCTCTTTTCCGCTGTGCCTTAAGCTCTTTCGAATGCTTGCTCCATTCGCGTCTGATAATCTGCTACCCACTGGTCAAATCTCTGGATCGTTGTCTACCTCTCTCCTGTGCCCAAGAAGATAGTCTACGGTAACCTTGCTTCCGTCCAAAAATGAGGTAGTAGGGGAAGTAGCCTGTAAGGAGTGGGGTGTGGCATTATAAGCATAGATCAACTCTGGGAGGTTTTACGGCCATTTGTGCTTCTGGTCCGGGGGCAGTGTGCGTAGGCAATCATGCATGGTGTGATAGGTGTGGGGGAATACGTCTGTAAGTTACTTTGACTGGTATGTCGTCTGTGGCGATGATTTGGTGCTCTATTTTATTACAGTAGCAATGTCATCCTCATCCTTGCTGAAGACTTCACTATATCTAGAGATTAACTTTCTGATACCTTGATGCTGCTGTGGATTCTGGGTGCAGAGACTTCACAGTCTGATGCAAGGAGGCTTGGGAAAAGCAATACTCGGGGGTATGCACAGGAAAGTATTGCAACAGGGGTCCTGGGTTGAATATACATGTCATCTTCATGAAGTTGGCCACTTGGATGGAGACTTTGCCACTCTTTCAACTCTTACAAGAGTTGGGGCGATCATCAAACCTTGGAAGATGTTTCATGTGTACATCAAGCTCCTCCACCATTGCTTGATAGACGTTGTTGCCGGCTGCCGGCTTCACAGAAAAATCAACAACAAGTAGAGACATTGCTTGCAGGCCTAGATTCAGTGGTTTGTGTAGGCCCAAGGCACCAGTGTTCCAAGTACTTTCATGGACGAGTACTTGGCCGAGTC